TCCATAGTGAAGGACATGTACGATGGGGCTAAAGCAGCTGTACGCACCCCGCACGGCTTGACGAAGGAGGTAAACATTACGGTTGGGGTACACCAAGGATCAGCCCTCAGCCCGTTCCTCTTCCTCCTGACTCTAGATGTCATGGCAAAAGAACTCATGGAGGGACCACTGAAAACCATCCTCTACGCTGACGACATCGCCCTGATAGCGGACAGCAGGGAAGAACTCCAGGACAAGGTGCAGCGGTGGCAGGATGTGCTCGCTGAGAATGGACTCCGGCTGAACGTGAAGAAGACCAAGTTCCTGAGCTCCGAAGAGTGTACGAACTCATCGTAGACCGCCATGGCGAGAGCATCGAAAGGGTCGAGGATTTCCAGTACCTGGGGAGCAACCTAGCAGCTGATGGCAGCGTGGACCAGGCGGTGAAGACCCGAATCAACGCAGCCTGGATGAAATGGAGGGAGTCCACTGGCATCCTAGACCGGCGGTGCTCGAGAACGCTCAAGGTGTACCGGGGTGGTAAGGCCTACAATGCTCTACGGCAGTGAGTGCTGGCCTATCTGCAAGAACCATGAAAGGCAGCTCCACTCAGCTGAAATGAGGATGCTGAGATGGGCCTGCGGCTGGACACGACTCGACAGAGTCAGAAACGAGGACGTCAGGGCGGTCACACAGACGGCTCCGATCCAGCTGAAGGCACGAGAGCAGCGACTGCGATGGTATGGGCACGTACTGAGAGCCTGAGGACCACCCAATAAGGAAGGCATTGGAATTCGAAGCAGAGGGCAAGCGACGAGGAGCCCAAAGAAAAGATGGAGGGACGTCATCAAGAAGGACCTCACTGAAGTGAAAGCCACGGCAGAAGATGCAGTGGATCGGAACAAGTGGCGACGTCTAACAAGAACAGCGGACCCTGCGACGGCGCGGGACTAACGCTAGGGAGAAGAAGAAGAAGAAGATATGCATGCAGCATCACGACCGCTTCATACCAATCCCTTCGCTTCATAATTTGCTTAGCAAATGAATGAATACGAGCGTCAGGAACGGTCGTCCATTTGTGGGCGGGCGGGCGTGGCGGGCGTTTGGGACGTAAAGTTGTGGCTTGATAGGGCCCTTATAAGGGCACCTTCCTACGCAAAGCACCACACACGTAAGATGCCTCACTACCAGCCATATGCTCACATTAACTCAAGCCGGTTGTGCTATTTTTTGCGCCTCTGTCGTTCTTTCAAATGAGGAGCAAGGCAGTCATGCACAGCACAGACTCACACACCTCTCACGTTGCAGAGACTCACCTCTCAGGCAAGAGTACATCGTCTCTTCAGAGAGAATTCCCGCGACCAGTTGTTACGGGTATTACATTACTGGTAATGTTACGGGAAGTGCTTAATTATGAACCAGTAGCCTATAAATAGCTCCCCAACAAGAAAAATTAAAAAACCTTCGGGAACCTCCTGGACAGAGACTCCCTCAGCAGTGGTTGCCTTGCACAAGTTTGTCGGACGAGAGCAGGCCCCATCAGCGCTTCGACATGCAACCAAGTCCCGGCAAGAGCACAGAATCACCATACGACGCAATTCCGCTTGCAAGCCCCTGTTTTGCAGAGAGTAAGTAATCGCGGTGACAATGGTTGCGATAATCACGCCTCTCTAGCTTCTTTAACTTGTCATTTCGACTGACAATATAGGTACATTCTT